ATAATTAAATGCATGTCATAAAAATTTGATATATGAAAACAATATTTTAAATGGACACATTTTTTTCTAAATTTATAATATAACTAAATATAATATACTTTTTACACACTTTGTGATCAAAGTATAGAGCAGCTTTACCAAAAATACCAAACTATGATAACTTTTTTGGGAGAAAGAGATAACATATTTCAAAAGGGTTATCAGATGAAACAATAATGAGATTCGATTTAACCAATATAATGAAAAATAAAATAGAAATGCCAAAGAAATCAACCAAGTAATGAAAATTGCATGAGTGGTATATGACCTATATGTCATGTGTTATCCTTCAACAAAAACAAATTTATTTCATTTAATTTGTTGAAATAATATATTAGAAATTAAATAATGTTACATATAAAACATTTTGAAATAAAATATATAATTATGGCTGATATCAATTCTCTTTCCTTTACACAAACAATAACCACCAACATTCTTATTTATTAAAAATTGTGCAAGGTCAAACTCGTAAGAAAATTCTACGACGTAGGGAGTATATGACATGCAACATGTATCATCTTTCAACTCTAACTTTGTTTTGTTTAGTTTGTTGAAAAAATATACATTGTATACTAAAATATACTTCTTAGTATGTAATAGGATAAAAATTTTGAAATAAGTCTTGCATTTAATAAATATTTATATGTGATAAAAAATTATAATACAATTTTGAAAATAGTTTGGGTTGATAAAAATAAAAATAAAAATGTCAAATAGATCAATTAAGTATTGACACATCATTAGAGAATGTAAATCTATCATGTGCCAAATGTAATTCTTTAATTAAACCTTCTCTTTGTTTAGTTAACATAATGAATATATAATCAAGATGCATGTGTGAAAAAATTTACATATAATAGTTCTTTTGAGATGATGGATAATTTTAAACATTATAAGCAACATTTTTTGATGTATAAATCTTATATAATTTTTTTCAAAATAAAAAATAGTCGTGCATATTTAAAAATATGTTAAAACAATGAAAATTATTTTTAAAATAATATAGATAGTGAAAAATTTATAAAAAGTTTATAAAAGAATGTTTATTTATTGTTGGAAAGTGAATGTTTTATAAAAGAATTAAATTGGTACATTTGGCGGACACATGTTAGGACTATGCACACGTGGCCGCCATGTGAATTAATATTTGCTCTTAAGTCCATGTTATTTAAAATGTACTGCTAGGGTCCTTAAATTAGTAGTAATATATTCTTTGGGTACATTCCATTTATTTGTGCTTTAGGATTAAAGTTTTAATATTTTGATAAATTCAAAATTTTACTTTCATAATTAATATTTTATTAAATCTTTTATTATATTTGAGACTCATGTCTCTAAGATATTGACATGTCTCATCTTACATGGCAAAATTTAAATAACATGGCACATGATTAAATTACATGACATGCTTTAAATTCTCATTAAAGCAGGGGCCCTATTCAATCTCCCCTATAGGACTCGAGGGATCCTATTCAATTTGTACTTCCTTGGCAGGAGATTTGTGGAAACCCATCGCCTTCACCCCCGCAGGAGCTGCTTGCTTCTCCTTGAAGCAAGGAATGGCAGGGTTGTTCCCGGGGAAATGGAAGCCGGCCAGACGAAACATTTTTGATCAATCAGTGAATCCCCCTTCATCTCCATAAGTGGAGGGTTCCCTCTATTGATGACTTCTTGCTTCTGTTCAGCATCGGTGGCTCCTTTTCTTACTTTAGCATGTATTCGAACAAATAATACCCCATCTTCAAGAAAATGGAGCTGAAGATTGAGAAATGGGACATGAGGTATTTCGTCATCGAATTCATGGACCACAACCCTATGGATCTTCCCTCTCTGGCACTCCGTTCTGCTGGGCTGAAATCCTATCATATACATTGGTTTTGACTTGGACTTGGATGAAGAGTAGATTGAATAAAAAGATGGAGCAAAGATTAACACATTCGGCCATAAAATGCAAGTGGAATGCTTCCAAAAAAGGAATTGTGTGATTCAAAAAAGAAATCGTATATGAGAGTTTAAACCACTGGTGCCCACGACTAGGCTACTCCGGACAACAACGAAGCTCTATCAAGGGTTATGTTCTGGCTACTTGGCGATGATGACCGGCCTCTTACACGGAGACTACAGTAAGGGACGATGATTTATTTTACTTTGTAATGTTTAAAGAACTCCTATATTGTAGGGGTGGGAAAAAAACCAAACTCGCATGGTACCATATCGGACTGTAATTATTCCAAACCGTTTATAGTGTTTTTAAATGGGATTGATTTTTTCATCACGAACCAAAATCGAATTGATATCAAACAAGACAGGACCGTGATAAAAATATTTAAAATCGATTATCACAGACCGAATCGTTCAAAGCTATATACGGAGTATCTCAAATAATTATTTGTCAACTTCATCTTACCATATATGGAGTACTTTGTATGGTATCATTCATTTTTAAAATTCTTTCATTAATATTATTGGTATTATATTTATTACTGCTATTACTATTAGTTTTTAGAGCTATTACGGGGTAATACCCTTGATGGGTATATCTTTATACACGACTAGAGTATCCGAAAGAGACAAGTCAAAAGTTGACTGGTCACTTCCCATGATTACAGAATAAGAATAACTCTTCGATTGAGACGGGTCAAAAGTTGACCGGTCACTTTTCTGAAAAAGTGATCGGTCACATTTTGGGCAATAGCCAAAATGTCACCGAACCTAATGTTACAAAGGACATTCTAGAAGACCAGAGAGACGGGTTGAGCTCAAAAAATGACCGGTCGACCTTCAAGGAAAGGTGATTGGTTATATTCTTCTACTTAGCTAATGTTAAGTGAATTTCCCAAGTATGGCAGTCAGCATCAGAGGCCAGGGGACTACCCCGCCGTTCATCCATCACGAAGCATACAGTGAAAAGGATGTTTTCCATCTTGTAGGGTTGATTGGATTGAGAATATCCACCTTATAACCTTTGATTGAATAGTGTCTTGGCTTATAGCTACTAAAATCACTGATTGAATAGTGATTACATTATATATAGTGACCTTCTCCGGTTTTCCTATTTTGTCCATAGATGAACAGAGGAAGGTAACAAATCCTCCTCTATAAATATGATGATTATGGATAGAGGAGGGGATCCATTCTTTATCTCACTAAAAGTACACTCTTGAGACAGAGTAAGAAATATAATTTTGACTGAGGAGATTTACCCAGTTTAGGTCATACTTTGTGTTTTTCTTGTGTGTATTTTACTACGGGTCGAGTGTGTCCAGGTCAAACCTGGTTAACCTACCCAGCTATATTTACACCATCAAGCCTGATATTGTATGAGTTGAAAAAAACCTACTTTTAAGAATTGAACTCGTTAGCTTTTATTCTTTATGTTTATGATCTTTTCAAATTTGAAATCAATACTTCTATTTAACAAAGTTGTGCTTTTGGATACAAAATTATGCTTTTATTTTAAAACTCCCTCCGTCCTAAAACTTTCTTCCCAGAGCACTATTCCAACTTCACAGGAATTTATATTTATTTGTATTTTTTCATGGCTTATATGATAAAATAAAATATTCTTGTCACCACTTGTTTTGTTGAACTTTTGATGTAGTTTTTAAATATGTATGTTTTATTTTTTATTTCTATACCAATATTTAAATAAAATAGATTGAAAAAACTTGGGATTTTTTTTCGTTTTGCACAACGGGAAGAAAGATATATGACGAAGGGAGTATTTTTTGAGTTGATGAATGTCCTTTTTTGTCACGGCTTGAGCATGGTATGGTTTTGTACCGTTCCATTTCAAAGCGGAATGGTACCGAATGTTTTAAGGGTTCATACCGTACTAATACCAAACCGTTTAAATAAAAGCGGCCCGTGATAGGTTTCGGTAGTATCACGGACCGTGCCCACCCCTACTATATTGCAGAGTTTTCTTTTCTACTTTGATATATTATTAATGTTTTACTCCTATTTTATTTCCTTATAAAAAAGTAGAGTCATGTTAAATTAAATACTCCTACTTAGTAGAGTTTAAATTTCAACTCCTATTTTAAGATATGACATCTCTTTTACTTTTGTTTTGGTCCTTAACCCTTTTGACAATAGATTTGTATACCTCTTAGGTAGTATTTGGCAACTAGTATTTATTTCAATTCATGCATTTTAATTCCAAAATTTGAAATCTTGAATTTCAAATAACAAGGAGAGGTGCATAGAGTTCAAATTAAGCTTTATTATGAATGGGAAGAATTTGACTCAAATCCAAATTCAAAATTTTTAAGTTTTTCAAACATGAAATTTGAACCAAATCTAGATTTGAAATCCAAATTCATATTTTCAAACATACCATTAATGGTTTTAAACTTGAATTTGCAGGTAGCAAGAGTTTTGATGAACGGTTTAGTGAGGGTTTATACCTTGCAGTTTCAAGGAGTTTTCTCTTTTACACATTTTATTTTGAAAAAAAGACTAAAGTAAAATATAAAATATTAAAAATATACCAAAGTAAAGCTTCTATATTTTTATTTTCAAAATAGGAATTAAAATACGTTTACATTACCAAACATGATCAGATACATTACTAAAAAGTATAGTAATGTGCACATGTACAATGCCACATTACAACCATATTACAACCATGCAAAGTTCTATTTCGAAATTAAAAACATAAAACTCTTATTTTGATACTTTTTTCTATGTTTTAGTTCTATTTAGAGTGATTTCTATTTTATTTTTTTTAGTGTGATTTTCCTCTTCTCTTACTCATTTAATAATTCTAGTGAGTTATTCACCCTTCCAGAATCTTTTCGTCTAACAAAAGTTCAAGAGTGGTTCCACCGAGATCTGCTCAAAGCGGTATTTTTTGGCCTGAAAGTCCTCAACTTTCAGTGTGGTCTCGCTCTGAACAGTTGGTGTTCCCCTTTTCATCTAATCCATCACAATATATTACATTTTCGACAATCAATTACCCCAATCCAAATTCATTGAACAAATATGTCAACAAAGTCAACATAAGGACAATGTCCACCAAACCAACATCTTCTAAGCATGCTCAAAAGAAATAATTTTTAAGTTATCACATGAGCAGCACCAAATCATTTGGCATCTTGGAATCTCGACATACAACAACAACAACCGCCAAGTCTTATCCCACTAGGTGGGGTCGCTACATGACTTGAAATCTCGACATAATAACAAGAAATCAAACAGCCACATAGAGAATCAAATCAGTTTGGGTTTCTTGTTTGCAGCTCTTTGCTTCACTTTTTCTAGCACCTTCAAAAGATGTGCTGCTGACGGACGTGAATGAAGATCCTCTTGAAAACAAAGTTTTACCAAGTTAGTGATTTCAATACCATCCACGAGATCATCTGTGAGAGATGGATCCACAAAATTAATCCCTGGTGTATCCATGTGGCGAATAGCCCAACCCTGTAGAAACCATCCCATCCTCCCCTCCCATAAGTCTTCAGCAGCTGTTGGCTTCACTTTACAAATCAGTTCCATGAGGAAAATTCCAAATGCATAAATGTCGGATTTCAAGACGAATTTACCTGCATAGTGGAACATCTAATATCACCAGTTTCATGCACAACAAAGGAACCATTTAGGAATTAAGACTAAACATACAAATTCAACAACACTATCCCAGTGCCTCAAAGGCTCCCGCACATTGCGGGGTAGGGGGGTTGGATGTACGCAGACAGACCTCTATGTTTAAAACATAGAGCGACTGTTTCTGGATGACCCATGATGAACATCAAGAGTTGCATTGACCAACGGCTACTTCACTATAAAAGAAGTGCAAACAATTTACAAAGTTATTTTGCTTTATTCCATCATACCCCCAAGCCAAACAATAGTGAATCTATGGCTCCATTGGTGATGATGGACAAAACATACAAATGAGAGAAGCATAGATGACTACACAAAAACCATTTGATGTTGATCAATTTTTAAACATAAAATATAAATTAGGGATTTAATCATGTGTACCTGATAATCCTGTAAACGTAGTTAGAGATGAGATCTAAACCAGTTTGTAATCATGATTTGCAAGAAAATTATCGTTATTAATTTGGTAATTATTCGATGGACGTAATTACCCTTATGACCTAATTAGGGTTTCCCCTTGGGTGTATATATAGAGGTCATTAGACAGAGATCAACACACCAATCTTACGCCTCCTCTCTGCCTCTCTATTCTCGTGAGTCATCCTCACCTTAGCCATAATAACGATACACCCTAAACGGGAACTCGATCTGCGTGAGAATCATGGCCTCATCTCTAACTACGTTTACAGGATTATCAGGTACACATGATTAAATCCCTAATTTATATTTTATGTTTAAGAATTGATCAACATGAGTTGTATTTTATTCTCTTTCGATTTTAACTCCAGGGTAGCGAAAAAGAGAGAATTGATTATTCAACATAAAGCTCTGATACCACATGTTGATTAATTCTTAAACATAAAATATAAATTAGGGATTTAATCATGTGTACCTGATAATCCTGTAAACGTAGCTAGAGATGAGGCCATGATTCTCACGCAGATCGAGTTCCCGTTTAGGGTGTATCGTTATGATGGCTAAGGTGAGGATGACTCACGAGAATAGAGAGGCAGAGAGGAGGCGTAAGATTGGTGTGTTGATCTCTGCCTAATGACCTCTATATATACACCCAAGGGGAAACCCTAATTAGGTCATAAGGGTAATTACGTCCATCGAATAATTACCAAATTAATACATAGGGTATTTATCAGGTCAATGATCAATTAATTAGATAAATGATAACTCAGGCCACATAATAAAAACGTGTCCAACATTCCACAGTAAATTTACCAAATAGAAGCTTAATCATAATCGGAATTCGGAAACATAAGCCAATTACTTTTTAAGAGTCAATTTAGGAAAATTGAATGCTTTTAGTGTGGAAACAAGATCTACCCTCATCAATCACAGTTTTGTTAGGGTTAGGGAAAAGAAAAGAAAAACTTTCCGATTCAATTTTCGATCCAAAAAAAACTGATTTTGATTTTAACTCTAGGGTAGCGAAAAAAAGATAATTGATTAATCAACATATTGCTCTGATACCACATGTTGATCAATTCTTAAACATAAAATATAAATTAGGGATTTAATCATGTGTACCTGATAATCCTGTAAACGTAGTTAGAGATGAGGCCATGATTCTCACGCAGATCGAGTTCCCGTTTAGGGTGTATCGTTATGATGGCTAAGGTGAGGATGACTCACGAGAATAGAGAGGCAGAGAGGAGGCGTAAGATTGGTGTGTTGATCTCTGCCTAATGACCTCTATATATACACCCCAGGGGAAACCCTAATTAGGTCATAAGGGTAATTACGTCCATCGAATAATTACCAAATTAATACGTAGGGTATTTATCAAGTCAATGATCAATTAATTAGATAAATGATAACTCAGGCCACATAATAAAAACGTGTCCAACATTTGAGAGTAAACAAACATATGAAGGAAGAACAAAGATCTAAAGGCCAAAAACATTCATAACACAACTACCTGAAAACCACTATTTGTCGGTTCACATAAAGCATATTTACATGCATGATAAGAGCAAGTCATGGAATATATTGAAATCAATCATCATCACTAAAGAGACAACATTAGTCCATTAGTTGGAGAGACAAAAACCAGCACAGTTAGTCAGGTTTGCAAATAATGAGAAAACCACCACTGACACCAGAATAATACTCCCTCCGAGTCCATGTATGATTTTCCCATTACACGTTACGAGGCTTGACCGACTTTATTTTCAATTCAATTTAATTGATTATAGGAGTAAAATTTTAAAATAAAATTTATATAGTAATAAACTACATAAAAAGTTCTATAAAACTAGAGGTGACAAGACTATATTATTTTATGAAATGACTAGTAAAATTGAGCAAACAAAGTGAGTAAAGTTTGACCCTGTGAATAGTGTCTGGGAAGATCTATGGTGGACAGAGGGAGTAATGCATATGTCAAGTATGTATTCAATTTTACATTGCTATCAAGGTAGAAAAGAAAACATAAAACAAAAGAAAGAAAACTTCTCTCTGTAAAAACTAGTGTAAAACTCTGGGGCAATAGTGCAAAACTGCAAATTTTAAAACGTTCTCAGCCACCAATATTGTAATATCTTCAAATTTAATGGCTTAGTAATCTGAAGACTTCGCTTTCCCATCAGTAACATTCATATCTCCACAGAAGTTGATCCCGGACTCCGCCATAATGGCAGCGGCACCACCCCATCACTTCTCACCTTTACCTTTACTATATCCCCAAATCACACTGTTTTTTTAATTATGCAATCATGTATTTTTTAAGTGATGCTATCATGTACTTTTTTAAAATTAATGTAGTTTTCATTTTTATTACTACCTCTATCCTTGAGTATTTATCGAATTTTGACTTTTTTCAATCACCTGTTTTCAACCTTTGACTTATAATTAAATAAAATATATATTATATACTCCCTCCGTCCCTAAATAAACTTCCATTTTTGACTTTTTAAGGATTTGAGGGATGGATATTTTTGTGTTGACTTTCCAAAAATACCCTTGATGTGATGTGTAAAAGTAAGATGTGATAGGTAAATTATTAGTAAAAAGATATGATATGATAGGTAGGGTATGAAAAAGTAAGGGGTAAAGGGGGTTTTTTAAGGGAAAATAGAAGTTTATTTGGAGACAAAGAAAAAACGAAAGAGGAAGTTTATTTAGGGACGGAGGGAGTATTAATTAGATACAATATATTTTGAAAATATTTGATATAATAAAATATAATAAAATTATTTTTGTATCAATATCTAATATCATTTTTATTTAATTTGAGGGTAAACTTTACCAATTTTGACAGAAAGAGTTAAAATGGGACAAATACCCAGGAAAAAAAAGAAACTAAAAAGGGCAGGAAAAGAACAACAATACAACAACAATGTGCAGTAAGTAGGTTTCTAAATAGGAAGCTATAAAAAGGGTTTCTCATTGATAATTGATAGACCAAGTACACTATGAATATAAGTAGGTTTTTAAATGAATCCCTTAAAAAGTTCTCAAAAGCTCATAACATCTATGTCCATATTGTTTTACTTTTGATTTTGATACATAATTCCGATCTTACAACATTTTGTAACATGCTAAATTGATTCTTTTATCTCATACGAATTCAATTTTGATCATTACAAAGTTTTCAGAGATCATTTTACTCCAATATATAATATGGTCAATAGCTTGGGCAAATCGTTACGAAGTTTGCAAGATAACGTTTTCTAGTTTTTGAATGCTTGAAGCTACTGTGTCCAATTAGTGTGTTTTCTCATTGGTTTCTTAAGGTGTTTGTCTTTGTTAGTATATTGTTTTTTTGCCAAAAATAGTTAACGAAACAGGGTTGTGCTTGGGTTCGGTGCATTCGGTCTGGATTGGTTTGATCCGTAAAATTTTGGTGCTGTTTGGTCCAAAGACAAATGTATTTAGGTCGGGTCTTCAGTGTTGTTATTAGTTTAGTTCAGTCTCTGATACAGTTTTAGATCGATGAAGATACGATGAAGTTTTTTTTGGGTAAAGGGAGAGTATCCAGCAAGGTATTCTAGGATGGCCAAGAACCATGAGTTGCACACATTTAACAAATAGGTTCTCCTGGCTATTTGATAAGGTGCATGGGAGAGACTCATATGTTTTTATTTTTAGGCTGATTACGCTTGGATTGGAATTACACTTTGGCCAAGAGTTTAAAAGGGAGGCCATAGGACAAGACACGTGATAAGCATCTCCATAGGCAACAATAAGACAACTATTACTGATGGGACCTGCAAGAGATTGTATTTTCATTTCTTCATTGAGAAAATGTACTTTCTGTGCCATAGTCCCTTATCCCTGCCAAGCGGAGGTTTACATTATTGTTTTAGGATAAGAAAGGCACCATGCCCTCCAGATATGCCTCTCATAGTTTATTCGAATTATGCTTATGAAGTCCTCTGTTGTATTTTAAATGTAGGACTACTTCAATTTTATGATATTATATATCTTTTATCTTTAAATTGTATTTAATTTTTGGAAAACTATTTTACCAGTGCCACATCAACATCAACCTTTCCCTCCTTACTAAAGATGTTATCAATATATAAATATTTTAAAAAATGGAAAAATTTCTGGCCGTGCATTGCATGGGTACGAAATCTAGTAAGGATCAGAAAACAAGTCATCCAAAATTTAAGGAACCTTTGGCATGCAAGGGATATTGCTAACCTTGGAACTCAAATCAGAGTTAAGAAGATAAAAAGAATTTAGAAGCCTTTGTCATTTTTTATCCTTGAACCTACGATTTCAGCGTCTAATATCCATAATCTCTGTGGGCTCTTAAGGGTTCAGAGATGCTTTCGCTAATACATGCAAGAATGTGGATCTTCTGGTCACATGAATGCAGATGTGATATAATTTAAAATCTGCCTGTGTCCTTTTCTTTGAATATCCAGATTGTTAAACATAACATGTTGGTTTCTGCTATTTATGCTAAATGTAACAAAATATGAAAACAATGAGAAAAGGTGCACTAACACCTGAATAACAATGCATATATCAAGTATATATTCAACTTTACCTCCTGAACAGTTCACTTCAGGAATATAAGCAGCATATGATCCCCCTGTGTACACCCAAGTGATTCTACGCGTCTCAGCCACTCCTACATGAGATCGGAGACCAAACTCGCAAAGTTTGACATTCCATTCCTGTGCCCCAATATCGCATCAAAATTGCAAAGTTCAAAACAAGTTCATATTTATAATTCCAAAAAGATGTTTCAAAAAGAATGTTCAAACCTCATCAATAAGCATATTGGAAACATCAATACCCCCGACGGGGACAAGCCTACTATGGAAGTCCATTATCAACTTTGCAACTTGAATAGCAATATCAAGTCGAGTATTCCAGTCGAGCTCGTCTATGTCAAAAAAAGAAAAAGTTCAACGAATTAGAAAAATAAATATTTAAGCAGAAAAAGAAAAATCCAAAACAAGCAATATACTACCCGAGTCAAGCATAGACTGAAGAGAATTCTTGATATTCATTTGATAGATGATGGCAAACGTATTATTAAATGTGTAACCAACTAGGTTGGGAAGATTTTGATGGCGTCCAAAACCACCCAAACGCTCGTCTTTGGTAAGAAAGGCCACCTCATCCTGCCAAATTTAACAAATTACAACTTTTTCCAAGAACTGCATACGGCAATAACAATACAAATTAAACCAAACGGATGCTTACACAAAGTGCATAAGGATGCAAAACCATCACTCGACTTATAGGGGCATAGACATCCCAAGTCTTAATTATGATTTCATTCCCATTGGAATCACGCCCTCTCAAAATTCTACCAAAAAGGGTCTTTCCCAGAAGATTTTTTTGTTTTGTATCATGTGTGAACTCTTTCAAGTCACCGTGATGGAAATACTTGACACCTGCAAGCTCAATTTCTTGAAGACTGCCCTCTCTTTTCCCCCTAGAAGCCACATATTTTTTTTGTGCAGAAAACAAACTTAGCAAGTTAGCATTACTCATGAAGATTACAACCTACAGGAATATTACAGAAGGAAGTATGATCTTTCCTGCATAAATTTCATTAACAACCTAGAGGGGGGAAACATCCAAGAACTACAATAGATAACAATCCTAAATAATCCCACAAATGTAGGGTCTGGGGAAGGTGTGAGGACGCAAACATTGCCCCTACTCGAAGTCTCGAAAGAAGAGAGGCTCATTCTCATTATGGATCTTATCCAATCTTGTGTACAAGGTTGTTAAGGTGAAGCGAGACGCCGATGTACCTTCACATCGCCTAGGAGACTAGGCGCACACTAAGTCAACAGTCCATAAACTTCCGTACGAGATGAATGGCCTCTATGGTCGACCAACCAGTTATGAAACCAAACTGACTTTAGGAATTGCACACCTCTTTTCAAAACCTAACCTTTATGATACACTCCCAAAATTTCATGGTGAATCAACCCACTGTTGCCCACCGCAGTCCAAAAATCCACCGGAATTTCATTCGGGTTCGCTGCCTCTCCCCTTTTTCGTCCTATTGATGGCACTTACCACCACCAGAGAATTAATATACCGAAAGTACTCTTGGTATCTTTGTATGCAACAGTTCTCCTAACTAGGGCCTCCTTTCTCCTCCCGCATTAAGGAGGCTATGGAAGTACTCTCCCCATTGGTGAGACTGATACACCTTTGCTGCTTCAAACATAACCTGCCATCATTGTCCTTCATACATCTCACCTAATCTCGATCTCAAGCCTCCTCTATGTCCTTATAACTTATAAGATGTTTGAAAGTTGAATTCTTACCTCCCATAACCTCTAACTTCGCTTCCTTACTAGCAATCTTATACTCCATTTTAAGGGACCCCCTAACTTTATCATCACTATAATCCATGAGCCTCTTATACGCTACCTTCTTAGCGTCCACCTTACTTCTCACAACATCACTCCACCACCCGTCACCTCTACGCTGGCTTCTAGTAGCTCTGCTCACACCCAGTACTTCTTGGGAAACACCCCTGAGGCAATCTGCCGTCCAAGACACCATGTCATTGGCCTCCCCATAGGACTCCCATGCACCTTTCTCATTTAGTTGAGCAACGAACTTAGTGAGTCCCAATGAATAGGTGGTGAACCATTTGCCACTCGCCTCTTCCTCTCCCACCTCATTTTAACATCCATCATCAATAACTTATGTTAAGTTGTAACGTTCTCACTCGTGATTACTTTTGCGTCCATTTCAAAGCCCCTGATCACACTTACATAGAATGAAGTAATTGATTTGCGTCCTCCCCATTCTACTAACAAAAGTAACCAAGTGGTCTTCTTGCTTAAAATAGAGGGAGTTAGTGAACACTAAGTCACTCCATCTAGCGAATTCCAAAAGAATTATTTTAGGCCCCGTTTGGTATATGAAATTCAAATTATGGAATTGGAATTGAGGAGTTCAATTCCAATTCTGGTGTTTGGTAAAACAAAAATTATGTGGATTTGGAATTGATAGTGCAAAAAATGAATTGGAATTGATGAATTCAATTCTATGGAATTAAATTTCATGGAATTTCAATTCCAATTCAATTCCATATACCAAACGGACCCTTAGTGATTTTAATGTACCAAGTTTAGCAAGAATTATTATTAGAACAAAAGATAGAGCATAATTAATCCATACACATTTTAAAAAAGTATAGTATACCATGACTTAGTACAAAATATTTATTGTAGGCAATATTCTTAATTTGAAGAATGCAAAAATAAAATATTACTCCCTCCCTCCCTGAAAACCATTCTCTTTTTTTTTCATCCGTCCTAAAAAACACTTCTTGTTTTTATAAAAAAAGTCACTTTTACTCCTTACTTTTTCATACCCTACCTATCACATCATACCTTTTTACTAGTAATCTACCCATCAAATCTTACTTTTATCTATCAGATCAAAAGGCATTTTTGGAAATTCAATACCAAATAGACTCCTCTTAAATCTTTTCAAAATCAAAACATCACATGTTTAAAGGAACGGAGGGAGTGCAATCTTATTCTCTTGAAATATATACAAGTTTTAATGGCAATTTTGTAATAAAAAAAAGTCGCGCTCATGACAAAAATGAAACGAACAGGCAGATTACTAAAAAATAGTGACAGATAAGCAAAAAATACTGGAAAATTAGGAAAAAAAACTTGCAAGGGGATAAAACCAAAGGGCAAGACTCATTTGCATAAAAAGACACATAAAACACAATATTAAAAAATAGAAAAAAAACAAACTAAAAAATTACTCCCTCCGTCCCAAAATATTCACAACATTTGCTTTTTCAGCAGTCGCGAGAACTTTTGTTTATTTCTACATTTTCATTGGTTATTTGGTAAAATAAAATATTCTTGACACCTCTTATTTCGAAGAACTTTTCATGTAGTTTTTTGATATGTAAATTTTATTTTTTATTTCTATACCAATATTTAAATAAAATGAATTGAAAAAACTTGATATTTTGCCTCGGGAATATAAATGTGGAAAATATTTAAGGACGGAGGGAGTACAAAAAAGGAGAGGTGAGAGAACAGTACAGTCGCACCTTAGTCAGAGAAGAAAAGGAGAGGTGATGTGCAAGACGAGGCGGACTAGGAACTAGGGACGAGGCGGACTAGGAACTAGGGACGAGGCGTCTAGGGACTAGAACATTGATGTCGTTTTGGCTTCTAGGGACCCCAAAGAATGCATTCCATATCCATAAGTCATACGACACCACGACCTCAGAACTACGGAAGAACAACTCTTGTAATTTTGCAACATTGACAAACAACAAAACCAATGAGAGTGGACATAGATAAGAAGCAAAGACTACATCTCATTATGGGTGTCTTTTTTAATCCTCAAAAGTTCAAAACTGTTTAGAATTCAATTTGCATGATAAAAATGTTCTATCAATAGCAAATACTAAAGAGCAAAATTTCCAATTTTATACCAATCAAGAAATACAGTCAATGTCCTCTTAAGTGGTTCATCCATTTCCCAAAATCCAGCAAAAGCTGCATTAGTCAGATACACAACAAAATCAAAAGATTTAAGCATAAGAAAACAGAAATTGGAGGATATAGAAAAGACTCACCATCTTCAATCATTTTCCAAACACATTGGTAGATTCTGTTGAAAATGAAACACATTTCTTCTTAAATTTTTCCACCAAGAACTTGCAGACCATAATTAATGGTTTGAGATTTGAAAGATTGAGAATACAACAGACCAAGCAAGTGCAAAACAACCAAGCTAGGCTTTAGCTTTAACTGATACTATTGTTGGTTTTGAAAAATAACTCTAAAAGGAAAAAAAGAGAAACAGATGGAGAAAAAACTTCAATGGAAGACAAATATGAAAATATTATGGAAAAAGGAACCAAGAACTCACTTATGCTTCCAATTTTAAGTTCCAAATCTAAATGTCCAGTGAGGTCTATAAGTATTTGAATTTAAGTAAAAACCAAAATGATTTTTAAATAAAATCTAATGTGGACCTTATTGCTATGCTACATTTCTTTTTCCATTATTGACTTTTGAATTTCATTAACCATGCAATCCTTTTACCATTGCACTTTAGCAGTTTGGCAACAAACTGTGTGAGAAAGGTACACCTTTTTTTTTAAATAATGAGTTAAATTTTGGTTGCTCACTATGACACACAAAATATTTCTGTAGATGTTGAAATTTGCAAGGATGTACATATTGAAATTTGCAAGGATTGAAATGTTTCTGCATTCCATCTCTTTTACACAGTATGCAATAATTTGCAAGGCTTTGATCCTTCCCACTTTTGGTTCCCAACTATATATCACTTTTGGTTTGTTCTGCAAAAAAGAATGGAAAGTGGAAAAACAATAGTATTTTTTTGTCAAATAATAGTATTTTTTGGCCAAAAACTCAATAACCTACATTTGGACATTTTGTCAAACACCTAGTGTGCACTACACTGAAATCATCTATTTGATTTTTTGATGAATTAAAAACAACCAATTAGGCCTAAAAGAGATCAACCACAGAGATGGAATGCAGAGCAAAGATGAATGGAGTTACCTGAGTGAGGGTCGCAGGGGAACGATGATGGCCGGAGAAGACTAGCGCAGAGAAGAGAATTGTATTTTGCTGCTTCAATTTTGCCGGAGAAAACTAGCGCAGAGAAGAGAGTAATTGTATTTTCCAAGAGAGTAATTGTATTTTGCTGCTTCGATTTTGCCTCGCATCCGCCACGCAACGCGAAGTGACTCGCGGAATGCCTCGCGACCCATTTTTTTCCTCACCCACTACTGCGCTTCACTCTACACGAAGGGCAGGGCGTGGCAAGGCTCCTCCTTGCCGCTGCCAGTGCTCTAAGTCCTAACTTACAAACGCTAATCATGATCGTGCAACGTTTAATATACCCTTACTTTTTTTATATCAAAAGACTAATTTAACCTTAATCTTAAAATTTTGAGAAAAGAAATTGTGTAAGCCCCGATTTTGCCTCCTTGTAATTGCGTACGACCTGAGAAGTAAGCCTGTTGGTGATTTTAGTGTCATCGATTTATTTTGTATAATTGGATTTACTTTGATCGGACAATAATTTAAATAGACGTTGTCAAACGAGTTAGGAGGCGTGGAGTGTGTGCTCGTTCAACGATATTATAAATTCACTGCAGGGGTCTGGGGGCGGCAGTCCCTGGCGGGGTCCAAGGGGCAGAGCCCTAGCCGGGGTCGAGATGTCAGGATAGCTCGAATTTTTTTTTATTTTGGATGTTGTTTCTTTATGAAAATTCCTAAGATTTTCGTGACCGGAGTCCAAAACAGTAAAGGACTCGTACACAGTGGATAACATCGAAATAGAGCCTAAAAACCGCAGGAGACCTTTCATTCAAACTCGCGCCTTTCTTCTTCCTCGCGCGAACGTACGCGTATGTCTACGCGAACGTTCATGTCCAATCACAAGGATTTTCGACTCTATAAAATAGTCTCGTGGTATGGGTTGAGTGACAGATTTTGAGTGCTTGTTCTTGATTAACGTCTTATCCGATTGAAGTATTTTGTATACCCCAAAATAACTTTGATCTGAAAGCGTTTTATATGTTGGCCATGTGTGCAGTAATTGTCCCGTGGCGGAGGCTATGTGGGTCAAGTCACAATCGAATGTCATGGGCGCTTGTGTAATGAATGCACTAATAAGGCTAGTGTATGCGCCTCTTCTAACACCAATTGGTTTTAGAAAAGTTGGTAGAGCCTGAGGTCCTACAAGTTGTATCGGAGGCTATGAGTATGTTTTTTGGATTCAGGAGGAGGAATTGGATTTTCTAGATTTTTGTCGGTGGCCGCCGCCGCCGTCGCCGGCGGAGCTCTGGCGGTCGTCGCCGGAAAATTGGCCGGAGTATAAACAGGCGGAACCAACGCCGTTTGAACCGTCTTCTTGTGAGGAACTCGAATATCCAAATCTCCATTCCCAATTTTGCCTGTAGCTTGTCGAATTGAAGGATTTTTGCCCGGAAAAACCCTAGGTGGCCGAAATTGGGGATTTTGCTTCTCCTGATCAATATGCACAATTGATGCTCCAAAGGTAATGGTGGGAGGTCCAGGAAGGTTTTGCGCACAAGGTTCCCATCCCCAATTGAACCGGTGGTGGTCGGAATCGCCGTTGACCCGCCGAGAACCGCCGAGACGGGTGGCTGGAGCGATCTGGCGGTTCCGACGTCCAAAATCCCTGAGGCTGGTCGCGATGGAACCGTCTGGACGTCAGGAAGCGTTTCCAAGGCATAGGAGGTCTCGCCAGCGTCTGTGGTGGCCGGAAAAAGCAGCGCTGCAAAGGGGGAGTCGCCACCGTCGATCTTCCGTTTCCCAGCAGCTTTTCCGGTGATGTTTGGGTCCAATAGGAGCGTCTCAAAGAGAGGAAGAGATTGGTGGGTGGGCGGCGGCAGTCCGGTGGCCATGGCGGCCGGAAAATGTGAATCGCCCCAAAGGGGCAGAAAATCGCCAAAGGGGGGGAGAGAGCCGTGCACCATGGGTTTTGGGGTTTAGGGTTTAGGGTTTAGGGTTTAGGGTTTAGG